GCTCTAGTATACTATGCCCCGCCTCCCTCAAGCTCCCTCCCCCCCCCCCTCCCTCCCACCCGCGCACGCGCGGGGGGGTGGTGGGGGGAGGACGGAGGATGGCAAGGGAGGAGGTGAGGGAGCTGGAGCGGCGCTCGCGGGAGTCTGCTGGACGTCGGGGGTGCACAGGCCTCTCGAGCGCTTTCGCGGAGCTGAGGCCGCGCGCCGCCGAAGCAGAGGTGCTCTGCCCAGAGGCAGCGGCGGGGCCACGATCGAGCCTCCGTCGGCGTGTCTTGCTGTGTCCAGCCGCGGCCAGCTGGCAGCGTGCGCTTCAGCGCCCCTGCCATCCGCCGAGGGCCCCTGTGGCACCGCCACCGCGCCTGGCCAGGGCCATGCTGAGCCCTTGGGTGGTGTACGTACCCCTCGGCGGCGGCCAGGATGGCGTGCACGCCCGTGCTGGGGCCCAAGGTGGCCTGGGCCAGGCCTCTTCCTCCTCCTCCTCCTCCTCCTCGTCCTCCTCCTCATCCTCCGCCTCCTCCTCCTCCTCTTTCTCCTCCTCCTCCTCCTCCTCCCTCTCCTCCTCCTCCTCCTCCTCCTCCTCCTCCTCCTCCACCTCCACCTCCTCCTCCCCCGCCTCCTCCTCGGAAGAGAAGCTCCGCTGTCTGGGGAGGGCTTCCCGCCTCCCTGTGGCCAACGTTGCAGCGACCATGCCGAGACGGTGGCCGTCTGCGCACGTCAGGCGTGCCTGCGGTGCACAGCGGGGGGACGACGCGGCCAAGACGGGGCGCGGCGCTGCCCGCGGAGAGGGGCACGGCCCCCACGGGGCGCAGCATGGATTGAGACAAGGAGAGTGCGGCAGAGGCGCTGGGGTGCATCCAGTGTGCCAGGAGCGCAGGGCCGTGGTTCACTGCATGAGTTTGCTTACTACAGGTCGGCTCGTGTGGCGGTCCCTGTTTGCCCAGCGGCCTTGAGATTCGAGAAGTGGCCGCGATGGGTCGTGATGATGTGGCCTCAGCAGGGGGAGGCTGTGCCTGGCGCGCCAGGGGGCGCCGCCAGGAGGAAGCTCGCTCGTACCCCACCGCCCCCCTGGACAAGAGGCGGGGAGGCCACCAGGCCCACAGCCCGAGGCCAGCCCCAGAAGACCGGGGGGAGGGCGGCGGAGTGGCCGGAGCCGAAGAAGAACGAAAGCATCTGAAACATCGGCCGCAGCGGCGCGGAGGGCCCTGCGACGAGGCAGCTGGGGCGGCATCCCGGGCCAGGGCAGCATGGAGCGCGTGCGGTCTTCCAGCACGCGTGGCGCGGTTCGCCGCAGCGCGGCGGTCTGCGACGGCCTGCGGCGGGCGGCGGCGGGCGGCGCACCCGGCGCACCCGCGTCGACGCTGTCTTCGGCGCCCTCCTGCCTGCCGGGGGCTGGCACGGTGGCGCACTGGGCGAGCACACGGCTTCCCGCTGCAGGGGGCTCGCGTGGCGGGTTGTCGGCGGCGTGGGGATGATGTCGCACGGACGCCCGAGCCCGACGACGGGTCGTGGGTGCAGAGAGTGCCGGTCAGGGTGGGCAATGTGATGTTTTGCAGCGGCGCCGGCAGCGTCTGCCAGCGAGAGCCTCTGGCCAGACTGCAGGGGCAGGGGGCGCCGCCAGGGCAAGCAAGTGCGACGGAGGGCGCCCACACGAGGGGGACAAAATGCGGCCAAGGGGGCGTACGTCTTAGGATGACGGAAAGGGTCAGGAAGACAAGTATCGGGTTGGGGGGAGAATTTTAAGAGACATGAGAATGCTCTTACCCGTAGGCGGCCGAAGGTATCGTTCATTGCATCCGGGTGCTATTGCTCATGCCCTTCATCCTCCCAACCCCTTCCTCCCAACACGATAGTTTGTTTCCTCAAAGAGCGAGGTAAGAGTGATAACGTTCTGGTACGGCGAAGCCTGGGCCCCGGTAACACGACCCCCCTCCCCCCAAGACGGCCCAAGAGGCCCCCAAAAACCGCCAAGAGAGCCCCAAGACGGCCCAGCAGAGGTCCGAGAGGGTTCCGAGACTGCCAAAGAGCGTTCCAAGAGGGCGAAAGACCGTCCAAGAGCGTTCCAAGATGTCCTCAGATGTCCTCAAGATGGTCCAAGAGGGCCCCAGACTCCCCAGAGGGCCTCAGGAGGCCAAAACAATGATTGCCTTTGGGTTCCACAGACAGTGCTTGCACTTAGATGGTCTTACTTCGGTTCTAAAGTAACTGAGCTCCAGTGCCGAGTGCCAGTCCAGCTGGCTCGTTCTCGCCCGTCGCCGCCGCCACCGCCGCTGGCAACTGAGCCCCAGTGGCTATCTGGCCGGCTCGTCGCCAAACGTCGCCGCCGTCGCCGTTTGATTGTTTTGCATTGCAACCGCATTGGTTTCTGTATTGTTTCGGATTGATGCACACTGCGTAGCATTGCTTGGCATACAGCGCAGCGCTTAGCATTGCAATCGTACTGCGTTGTATTAAACAGCATTGATTTGGAGTGCGTTGCCTTGATTCGCATTGCTTAGCATTGCAATCGCATTGCTTGACCTTGCAGTGCATTGCGTTGTTTTGATTTGCATTGCAATGATATGGCAATCGCATTACGCACTGCGTTGTATTAATTTGCATTGCTTTGTGTTTCAATCGCGTTGTTTTGCATTGCGTTGCATTGCATTGTTGTACTTTGCGTTGTGTCGCATTTATTTGCATTGCGATGCATTGCTTGGCTTTGCAACCACATTACTTTGCATTGCGTTGTGTTGATCTGCATTGCTTAGTATTGCTTAACATTTGCAATACCATCGCATTGCTTTGCGCAGATGTGCATGCATTTGCATTGCTTCGCATTGTGGTCGTATTGCATTGCATTGCTTGTCATTACAATCGTATTGCTTCGCGTTGTGTTGCATCGCAGTGCATCGTATTGTGATGCACTGCATTGTGTTGCATTGCTTTGCGTTGCCTAGCACTGGTTAGCATTGCAAACGTATTGCGTCGCATTGATGTGCGTTGCGTTGCATTAATTTGCATTGTGGCACATTGCTCAGCATTGCAAACAGTGCAGCGCTTTTTGATTTGCATTGCGTTGCATTGGTTTGCATTGATTTGCATTGCAATCGCATTGAGCCGCATTACTTTGCATTGTTTTGCATTGGTGTGCATTGCACTGTGTTGCATTGCAATCGCATTGAGTAACATTACAATCGCATTGCGATGCATGAGTTTGCATTGCTTTGCATTGCAGTTGCAATCGCGTTCATGTGCATTGCGTTGCACTGCCATCGCATTGTTGTGAAATGTATCGGTTCACATTGCGTTGCATTGTTTCGCATTGCAATCGCACTGCAATGTCATCGTTTTGCAGTGCGGTCGCATTACGTCGCATTGACTCGCAGTGCGTTGCATTGGTGTGGGGTGATGTGCATTGTGTTGCAGTGCGTTGCTCTGTTTTGCATAATGGTGCAGTGCGTCCGTTGCGTTGCGTTGCGTTGCATTGACGCGCACTGTCGTACATTGGTTTGCAGTGTGTTGCATTGCTTTGCATTGCTCAGCATAGCGTAGCACTGCATTCGCATTGCGTTGCGTTGTTGTTGTTTATTGCTTCGCAGTGTTGCTTAGTGATGTGCATTGTTGTTCAATGGCTCGCATTGCCTTGAATTGCGTCGCGGTGCGTTGCCTTGCAATTGCAGCGTGTTGAGGTGCAATCGCATTGCGCTGCATTTGAATCACAATCGCATTGATGGGCTGTGCATTGCATTATGTTGCATTGTATTGCTTAGCATCGGTTTTCATTGTTTTGTATTGCAATTGCAATGCAATCGCATTGCGTTGCAGTTCAATCGCGTTGCAATCGCATTGCATTGTGGTGCATGTATTTGACGTTTGCCTCCTTGAGTTGTAGTGTAGTATCGTGCAGCGTCGTGCGTTTCAATCGCATTGCGCTGCATTACAATCGCATTGCGTTGGATTGAGTTGCATTGCAATCGCAGTGTTTTGCATTGATGTGCATGGTGTTGCATTGCATTGGTTCGCATTGCGTTGCATTGCATTGCTTTGCATTGTGATGCCTTGCTTCGCGCCACATAGATTGCACCACATGGAGTGGACCACCTAGATTGCACCACAGTTGATTCCACCACCTAGATTGCATCGCATAAACTGCCAAGTGTACGTAACTCTCTGGCGTCAACGCTAGCATGTTTGAAGGTGTTTCGGATTCTCGCCTTTTCACGCTTCCGACGGCCCAGACGGCCCAAGAGGCCCCAAAGATCGCCCCAATACAGCTCAAGAGGCCCCCAGGACTGCGCCAAGACGGCCCAAGAGAGCCCCAGGTACCCCAAGAGGTTTCCAAGACGGCCGAAGGGGGCCCCCAGGGGCCCCCAAGAAAGTCTCACGAGGGCCCCAGGAGGCCCCCAAGAGAGCCCCAAGAGGGACCCAAGACGGCCAAGGCCCCCCATGACGCCCCAAAACAGCCCTGAGAGCACCCCCAAGAAGGCTCGGAGAGGCCAAATTTCCAGTGACGGACACAGCGTTGACGCCAAGGCTCCCAAGAGCTCCAGGTGGCGGAAAGCACATGTCTGGGCGAGTCGGTGGCCTTAGAAGCTTTGAACGCCAAGGCTCCCAAGAGCTCCCGATGTCGTGAGAAGCCCTGAACGCCAAGGCGCCCAGCACGAACAAAGAGGAAAGAATTCTGCACGACAAGACTCCATGTAAGAAGGGTGGTGTGAATTTTCCCAGGCCACTTCCTGAAGCGCTCTTTCCGTCCCCGTGCCAGCCCAGGTCATACAGCAGAGGTCCAACACCCCCGAAGACAAGAGGATCCCCAAAGTTTGGACGCCAGAAGCATGTAAAAGGAGGAGTAGAAGAAGGGAGAAAGAGGAGGAGGAGGAGGAGGAGGAGGAGGAGCAGGGGGGAGAGGGAGAAAAAGGATGAGGAGGAGGCGGCGGGAGGAGGAGGCCTCTTTCCTCCTCCTCCTCCTCATCCTCATTCTCCTCCTCCGCCTCCGCCTCCGCCTCCTCCTCCTCCTCCTCCTTCTCCTCCTCCTCCTCCTCCTTCTCCTCCTCCTCCTCCCCCGCCCCTCTCCCCGCACGGCCGCGGCGGCTCGGATGAAGCTCGTCATCCAGCGGGCCGCCAGCGCCTCCGTGGAGGTTGACGGCGCCGTGGTCGGCAGGACAGCCCCGAGGGTGCCCTGGGACCCGTGAGAGATCGGAGGATTCGATTCGAGCAAGTCGATCGCAGTCAAGCTTCAGCCGTAGGACGCAGTGGGTAAAACACACACACACACACACACACACACGAACACACACACGAACACACACACACACACACACACACTGTGGGTAGCACACACAACACACGTGGGTAAAACACACACACACACACACACACACACACACGGGGGGGGGGGGGGGCGGGGGGGGGGGGGGGCCTGGGACCTGAACGCTACACGAGGCAAAAATTTGCGCGAGTGGGAGATCGGAGGTGGGAGAAGGGGGGAGGCGGCGACGGCGGCGCTCCAGCAGGGTCCAATGAGGAGAATGAGGAGGAGAGAGGAAGGAGAGGAGAGGAGGAGGAAGGAGGCCGCCTCCCTCCTCCCGCCTCCCCTCCTCCTCCTCCTCCTCCTCCCTCCTCCTCCTCCTCCTCCTCCTCCTCCTCTCCTCCTCCTCCCTCCTCTTCCTCCTCCTCCCCTCCTCCTCCTCCCTCCTCCTCCTCCTCCTCCTCCTCCTCCTCCTCCTCCTGATGCCCGGGCGGTGGCGCGCAGGGCGCTGCGGCTGAGGGGGCGCCTGCCGACGCCGGCGGGGCGCCCGAGATGATCTGCATGGTGTCCACCACTGGGAGAGGGGGCGCGAGGGAGGGCAGCGAGGCAGGAGGGGGGGGGGCGAGCGAGGGAGGGCAGCGAGGGAGGGAGGGAGGAGGCGGAGGCGGAGGTGGAGGAGGAGGAGGAGGAGGAGGAGGAGGAGGAGGAGGAGGAGGACGCTTGGTGGGGACGCTGGTGTAGCGCAGGCTGGCGCGCTGACGGCCCCCCACCCTCGCGACGCCGGCGTGCGGCCTTCCATCGACGAGCGCGGTTGCTCGCGAGAGGCCGCCGTCTGCATCGCACATCGTCGAGTCCGAGGCCGAGCTCCACACTTCGATGGCGCTCGGGCGTCCGTCGGCGCGGGAAGGTACCAGGGATCCCCCTTTTCCCAAGGTGGTGCCTCCCCAAATGTTCTGGTGTGCTGGCCCGTTCTGCCGTCTGTCGGCCGACTGGCTCGGCCGTTAGTGGGTACGTGTTGCTTTGTTGTTGCTGATGTTGCTGTTGTTGTTGTTGGTGTTGGTGTTGGTGTTGTTGTTGTTGTTGCTGTTGCTGTTGCTGTTGCTGTTGCTGCTGTTGTTGGTTTCTCTTTCTCTCTCTCTCTCTCTCTCTCTCTCTCTCCTCCTCCTCTTCCGTGGACACCCAAGTCGGGAACGGAGTTTCCCGATCACTTAGTTGTGTTGTAAGCGACCTCCCCCCGAGGAGGGCGACGCCTTTGACAGGATTCGACTTCGAATTAGAATTGGGGAGGTCCAGCGGCCCGTGCCGCCAACCCTGAAGGGGGACGGCGACGACGACGACGGCGGCGGCGGCAGCGGCGACGACAACGACGCTGACGCTCTAGAGCCTTTCTTGGGGCTCTCTAGAGGGCCTCTTGGGCTCTGCTGGGGCTTGGGCTGGGGCCAGGGCCAGGGCCAGGGCCAGGATTGGAACTACTCCGAGGACCCCCGAAGACACACATATTGAAGCCCCTTCGACCCACCGAGAACTGCCGAGAGAAACTCTTACGGAGAGGTGGAGGGAGGAGGAAGAGGCGGAGGATGGAGGAGGAAGAAGACGAGCAGGATGGAGGGGGAGGAGGCGGAGGCAGAGGAGGCGGAGGAGGAAGAAGAAGAAGAAGAAGAAGAAGAAGAAGGAGGAGGAGGAGGAGGAGGAAGAGAGGAGGGAGGAGGAGGAGGAGGAGGAGGAGGAGGAGGAGGAGGGAGGAGGAGGAGGAAGAGATGAGATGAGATGAGATGAGATGAGATGAGATGAGATGAGATGAGATGATATGAGATGGGATGAGATGAGATGAGATGAGATGAGATGAGATGAGATGAGATGAGATGAGATGAGATGAGATGAGATGAGATGTGATGTGATGTGATGTGATGTGATGTGATGTGATGTGATGTGATGTGATGTGATGTGATGAGATGAGATGAGATGAGATGAGATGAGATGAGATGAGATGAGATGAGATGAGATGAGATGAGGAGAGGAGAGGAGAGGTGAGGTGAGGTGAGGTGAGGTGAGATGAGATGAGATGAGATGAGATGGGAAGAGACGAGACGAGAAGAGAAGAGAAGAGAAGAGACGAGAAGAGAAGGGAAAGGAGGGGAAGGGATGAGAAGAGCAGAGAAGGAGGGGCAGCAGGAGTATGAAGAGGAGGAGGAGGAGGAGGGAGGGAGGCAGGGAGGAGGAGGAGAAGGAGGCCTCTCCACACTCACCCGCCCCTTCCCCCACCCTGGATTTCGCCGCCGCCGCCACCCTGCTCCTGCTCCTCCGCCCCCCCGCTCCCGGAGGATCGAGCGCGGCCTGGTCCTCCTCCTGGGCATCGAGCAGGGGGACACCCTGGAGCAGGCGCGGCGCCGCGGGCGCCAGCCAGGATTTGTCGGCCGATCCCCGCCGAATCGACACGCTGCGGTCGGCGTGTCGGGGCAACGCGCTGGTTCCGGCCAGATCTGGACCCTCTGGCGGGGTCCAGACCAGGCACGGCGCTGCGAGGGCTGGTCGAAGTTCCAGACGATCCTTCCGACGACCGCCCCCCCCAGCGCTCGGCAACGAAAAGGGGGATCAGCAAGTGCCAAATAGCCCCCTACCGGCGACTGCTCGAGTGCGCATGGGTGACCGACCAGCGGCGCCAGGCTGAGTAGACAATATTCGACGCAGAGTGCAGCCCGCGCAAAGGCTGCTAGAAATCCTGGGGTCCCCCGAACGTATCAACAGCACGTTATGTAAACAGATTCTTCTCGTCCTATTTCGGGCCGGGCCGGGGTCGGCGCGTCTGGGGAGCGCGCCGGATGCGGCCACGACCCGGGGCCCGGCAGGAGAGGCCCCGCGCCGACGTGTTCCCCAGTCCCGCCCCGTCGAGCAACACCGACGTCGAGAAACCAGTCCCCGCGCGCACATGAGGGGAGGAGGAGGAGGAGGAGGAGGAGGAGGAGGAGGAGGAGGAGGAGGAGGAGGAGGAGGAGGAGGAGGAGGAGGAGGAGGAGGGGGAGGGGGAGGAGGAGGAGGAGGAGGAGGAGGAGGAGGAGGAGGAGGAGGAGGAGGAGGAGGAGGAGGAGGAGTCGGGGGGCGTGGACGCGGGAGTGGCAAGTCCTGCGGTCCCCAGAGGCCTCCATAGGCCCAACAACGGCCCAACAACGGCCGAAGACTCCCCCCCTCGACCATAGAGGGCCGAAGGCAAAACTTGGCACAAGGATGCGGGCGAGGTACCAGAAGAGATAACACACTGCGGTGGCTGAGCATGTCTCGGGAGGCCTCCCCTCTCCCACCGCAGGGGCGGCAATGTCCCTTCCCACTCGTCCTCCATCCTGCACTCCTCTTCTGTGCCATCGGTGTCACCCCTCACCGTCACGGTTGGACGAGGAAAGAAAAGGGCGGCGAGGCGGAGGAGGAAGAGGAGGAGAAGGAGGAGGGAACAGGGCGAGGATTAGCATGAGGACCAGGAGGTGGAGGAGGACCAGAAGGAAGAGGAGGACTGCGAGGACAAAACGAGAACGGGGACGAGGAGGAGCAGGAGCAGGAGCAAAGGCACGGCGTCCCCTCGCTCCGCTCCCTCCCTCCCGGCCCCGCTTCCCCCACACCCACTCCTCTCCCTCCGAGCCTGCCCGCTCCCCTCCCCTCTTGTCCCCAGTCCCCCCGTCTCCCCGCCGCTGTTCCCCCATCCTTCCCTCCCTCTCCACTCCGCTCCCCCCGCTCCTCGTGGGCGCGGGCTTCTTGAAATCTGACCACCCGCACGCAGGGGGCCCGCTCGGCAGGCAGCGAGGCCGCACGGGGGAGCTCCGGGCGGCGTGGCGAGAGGGCAGTGCCGAGACCTCGGGCCGCCGGGCAGAAGCGCGCTCTGCACAACGGATGGAGCCTCGGGATGGAGCTACGGCTGCGTTGGCTCGGGCTCTGTCTGGAGAGCTCCCCAAGCAGTGTTTGGGGCAGCCTGCCCTGTCCAGCGGGGTCGGGCCATTGTCTCCCCATGGGGACTGGACATGAGGTTGGCCGCGGGTCTGGACGCGGGTTTGTTGGTGGGTTTGGGCGTGAGTCTGGGCGCGGGTTTGCACCTGAGCTTGGATGTGGGATACACACAGGGTTACTTCCACATGGGATTTTACCCCGAGGATTCCACACCCCCACACACACATACACACATTCATACACACACACACACACACGCACACACACACACACACACACACACACACACACACACACACACACGCACACACACACACACACACGCACACACACACACACACACACACACACACACACACACACACACACACGCACACACACACACACACACACACGCACGCACGCACGCACGCGCGCGCGCACGCAAGCGCACGCACGCACGCACGCACGCACGCACGCACGCACCACACACACACACACACACACATTCACACACACAGACGCGCGCGCACGCACACGCCCGACACGCTAGTGAGGTCCAATGAGTGGTAATATCAATGACGGGCAGTGGCAAGAGGAGTAGACAAGTACCCACAATTCTGGAAGCGTGGTGGTTTCACACAGACACGCACACATTGACAACCTGTTCCTGTTCCACGTGCCATGATACGGTATGTTGATTCGCAATGACATGTTGCATCGTATGGGTATACAAGGTCGCATGCGTCCCCTCCAGGTGTCGCAGTTGGCCACGAAGGTGCTGAAGATCAGGTTGTGGCCAGACGTGAAGGACCCGTCCAAGCAGTGGTGTTCGTCAGTGGTGGACAACGGCTTTGGGCTGCTAGTGGTCAGCCAGTTCACTCTCTTTGCCACCTTCAAGAAGCCGAAGCCAGATTTTCACCAGGCCATGGGTGGCGATCAGGCCAAGGAACTCTACGAGGCATTTGTGTCGCAGTGTCGCACCGCGTGTGGGGCTGATAAGGTGGCTACCGGGGTATTCGGCGCAATGATGCAGGTGGGCGGGCCCCGAAATTTTCTCATCCTCTTCCTCATCATCAGCAGCATCATCATCAGCATCATCATCAGCATCATCAGCATCAGCATCATCATCACCATCATCAGCATCAGCAGCATCATCATCATCCTCGTCATCATCATCATCATCATCATCATCATCATCATCATCATCATCATCACCATCATCATCATCATCATCATCATCATCATCGCTATCTTCCTCCTTCCTGTCCACCTCCTCCTCCTCCTCCTCCTCCTCCTCCTCCTCCTCCTCCTCCTCCTCCTCCTCCTCCTCCTCCCCCTCTTCCTCCCCCAAGTGTTCCCGCAAGGGCTTCCACAGCGGCAGGGGGGGCACATATCCCAATATTTTGGCCAAGTGCTGGCCCGACGGTGGGTCACACAGGCGTGATCCAGAAAGGCAGAGGGCGGCGATCATTCGCCGCAGGCGGCTTCAATAAAAAATGCAACAGGCATGAACGAAACTTTATATTCAATCTTCCACCATTGTCCTCCCCCCCTCCTCCCCTCCAAAGGCGGCACTGGGCCGCTGCAGGGTGTTGTTCCCAACCATCCTGTGGTGTTCGGCCCTCGTTTGACGGTCCCCGCGTTCTCCTTCCTTCATTCCTTCCTCCTCCTTCTTCCTCCCTCTTCCATGCGTTTGACACACCCTGTACAGCGCTTCGTAGCCCCAGCTTGAGCTCCACCGAAGGCTCCAGTGGGACCGCCCGCATGCGTCATTCACCTCCCAGCACAGCATTTCGTGGCCCCATAGAGAGCTCCACCGAAGGCTTCAGTGGGACCGCCCGCGTGCGTCATCCACCACCCAGTACAGCGCTTCGTGACCCCATAGGGGGCTCCACCGAAGGCCCCAGTGGGACCGCCCGCATGCGTTATCCACCACCCAGTACAGCGCTTCGTGGCCCCATAGGGAGATCCACCGAACGCCCCAGTGGGACCGCCCGCGTGCGTCATCCACCACCCAGCACAGCACTTCGTAGCTCCATAGGGAGCTCCACCGAAGGCTTCAGTGGGACCGCCCGCATGCGTCATCCACTGCCCAGTACAGCGCTTCGTGGCCCCATAAGGGGGCTCCACCGAAGGCCCCAGTGGGACCGCCCGCATGCGTCATCCACCACCCAGTACAGCGCTTCGTGGCCCCATAGGCGGCTTCACCGAAGGCCCCAGTGGGACCGCCCGCATGCGTCATCCACCACCCAGCACAGCGCTTCGTGACCCCATAGGAAGCTCCACCGAAGGCCCCAGTGGGACCGCCCGCATGCGTCATCCAGCACCCACTACAGCGCTTCGTGATTCCATAGGGAGCTCCACCGAAAGCCCCAGTAGTGGGACCGCCCGCATGCGTCATCCACCACCCAGTACAGCGCTTCGTGGCCCCATAGGGAGCTCCACCGAAGGACCCAGTGGGACCGCCAGCATGCGTCATCCAGCACCCACTACAGAACTTCGTGGCCCCATAGTGAGCTCCACCGAAGGTTCCAGCGGGACCGCCCGCATGCGTCACCCACCACCCAGCACAGCGTTTCGTAGCCGAAGGCCCCAGTGGGACCGCCCGCATGCGTCATCCACCACCCAGTACAGCGCTTCGTGGCCCCATAAGGGGGCTCCACCGAAGGCCCCAGTGGGGCCGCCCGCATGCGTCATCCACCACCCAGTACAGCGTTCGTTTCCCCATAGGGAGCTCCACCTAAGGTCTCCGTGGCGCATTTCGCATGGCGGCCCATTTGCGGAGTTCGCATGGCGGCTATTTTCGATGTTCTGAGGTTTTTCTTCGATTTCGAGGTATTGAGGCCGCTTTCGGGCCGCGCATCCCGGGCGGGAGCCAGCCTGCTCGTTCTCTCTGCTCCGCGCAGCGGACGACCCGCGCGCGTCGACGGGACCCCTTCGGGGCGACCAGCGCGCGTCGCGGGGACTCCGTGCGTGGGCGTGCACAGGCAAAGAGGGAGAAGCAGAACGGGAAGGAAGCGGGCGCGATCCTCGTGAGAGGCTCGACATTTATGCACGTAGACTCACGCGCGCGCAGACTCATCCACAATCAGACCCACACGCTCTCAGTCTCTCGCACACAGACCCATCGTCTTCGCTCGCGTTGCGTGCCCCTCCGCGCATGTCGGCACGCCCCTCACACGGTTCGTGGCCCCATAGGGAGCGCGGGCGAAGATGATATTCATAATTGCGGTATTCACATCTGCATATGGTTGGGTCCTTCGTCAGGCTAATTGTAGCCACGATTTCGACGGGAATCAAGCCGTGACGGCGCGAAGCCCCCCAGAATAAAGCGCGAAAGGTATCCCAAACCTTTGGGCCTGCGAAGTTCGATTCTCAACACTCCTCCCCCCTCCTCCTCCTGATCCTGCCCCTCGCCTTGGGCGTGCCCGATGCGGTGCGACGAAAAAGGAAGAGGCGATAAGCGGACCATCCATCTTCTCCGTCGCACCGAGTCGGACACCCTTGAATTGCACCCTTGCCAGGGTAGTTGACGCTTGATCCTGCCAGACCCCCCATCCACGGTAGCATTGCTGGTACCGCGTTGGGTTGGCGGCGGGCCCAGCGCGGGCGTTCAAGGTCGAGCGCAGCTAATCGCCCAGAGTCGGCCGATATCGGACGATCTGCGCTATCGAGAAGCCACGACGTTCAAGGTTGAACGATCCACGAGGTGTCAGAAACCAACGGTTACGTTATCGCGACGTGAAATGTGTGGCACTTGAGGCTTGACCTCGCTGGCCTTCCCCCTGCGTTGCCCGCGAGTATGTCCGGATCCCTCCTCTCCTCCTTCCTCTTTCCTGCCTTTCGCTCGTGCGCCAGATCGGCGGGTCGCAGTGCGACGATGTTCCAGGCACGCGGTGGCGTAACAGGCGGCTTGTGCGTCGTAACCGTGTCTCGTTGGCGCTATCCGCCGCTGCACTCGGAGGGGGCCAACTATGCAGGTCCGCCTCGCTCCTCCGCCTTCCCAGGAAGAGGGGAAACAATCAGAGGAGAAGGGGGGAGGAGGATGAAGTGGGGTGGACCTGTACAACTGTTCGATTCCTATGCCCTCCCGTCCCGTTCTCCTTCTTCGCTGAGGGAGAAGTCGTGCCGTCGTGGCCGTGGCACCCGATCCCTCCTCCGTCCTCGATCCCTCCTCGTGCTCCGGGTCCGCCCCCCTCGATCACTGACGATGGCGGCATATGCCGTCTAATTCCCCCCTCTCCCCTATTCGCTCAGAGAGGATACCGTTGCGGTGGGTACGCCGATGGTGCCTATCCTCATCGATGTTCGATACTCAATCCTTCCTCCTCCTCCTCCTCCTCCTCCTCCTCCTCCTCTTCTGTTCTCGATCTATCCTCCCGCTACTCTATCCTCATCCTCCCGCGTCCTCGATATATCTTCCCGTTGCTGCTCCTGCTCTTCCTCCTCCATCCCTTTCCCTTATCAACACCTCCACCCAGTCGCAACCCCAGGCGTGTCGGCAGGGTTGGCCAGGCGTTTCGCTTGAGTACCGTCACTTATGATTATGAAGCTTGTAAAGTGCAACAGTTTCACGGATGGAGGGCAGGCAAGTTTCAAAATGTCGTTCTCGCCTTAGCGCCGCGCACATGCGTCTTAACAGTTTGCAGCTGGTTCACAGATGGAGGTAGGTTCCTTTCACAAACGTGGTTCTCGCCTCAGCGCCGCGCACATTCGTCTTGGAAGCGTGCAACAGTTTCAAGGATTTCGCATGGTTGAACTCGAGGAATGGACTTTAGCATGATGTAGGACCATAAGGACGCAACAGTCAAACTGATTATTTAATTGAGGCGCTTCCCCCAATTGAAATAAATGATTGCAGAGTCCTGTGTAAAAGGTAACTTGGAGGGAGTGTTTACTGCAGCATCGTTGATGCATACTGGGTTTAGACCTCCTCCTCTTCATCCATCCTCGACCCCTCCCCCTCCCCCGCACCATCAATCATCGGTATCCTTCTCCCCCTCTCTTTCGCAGCGCCATTGGGCGTCCTCTTCCGCGCTCGCGCACTCGCGGCCCTCCAGCGGAGCGGGCGGCCGGTCCGGCGCGAGTGCGGGGGCCCCCATGGACGCCAGCGGGGGACCCTGTCCAGAGGGGGGAGGGCGGAGAGGAACCGTACCCTGTGCTATTCCATCCTGAGGCCCACGAGGAGGAGGAGGAGGACGAGGAGGAGAAGGAGGAGGAGGAGGAGAAGGAGGAGGAAAAGGAGGAGGAGGAGGAGCACCGTGACGCTCATGGGATGTGGAAGCTCACAGTCGTCCGATAATGCGGCATGGTGGCAGTATCGGAGTACCAAGACCAACATAAGTTCTGGCAAAATCGTGTAGTACCGCCTAGTAATCGTCCTCCTGGGTGCGGCTACGCCCACGCTCGGCGCGTCCGTATTGGATCGTCTGCAGGGTGCGTTTTTTGTGCGTACCCGTTGGGGATTGGAGGCCGTTGGTTTTGTAGTAGTAGTAGTCCTGTGCAACAGGGTTGCCCTTGCAGTCCAGCGCGCCCACGAAGTACTTAGTGACATCTTACAAAAGTAGGCTGGTAATGTAGTCTGACTTCGTCTGCTTCCAGATCGTATTGTTGGCCATATGACTTGGCAGCTACCGCCTTCTTGCGCCCGCCGACAGTAGGAGGGCCTGCGTCAATCTCGAGCGTGACGTGCTCCTCCTTCTCAGCGTCCCTCAGGTAACGCAGTAAGCATTGATGCAGCAGTGGGCGGGCGGGGTACGTAGGCAGATGATGGGGATGATCTTCGCAGTCACGTACATATCTCTACTCGATCTAAGTTGCAGTAGGCCCTTGATTCACGTCACACCGGTGGTTTGCAGCCCTGCGGTGGTGTAGCGTGTATGATGTCTATGTGATGTTGTGGTTCTTCGTCAGCTATCTCTCTCGGTGTGTAGGGTTCTTCTTTGACGTCTTGGATAGCCAGTGGTGACATAGTGATAGCGTGTAGTTCTATTGCACGGCCTGCAAAAGCAGGTTACATGTCACGTTGTGCATCCGGCTTGGTATATAATATATCCAGTTGTTTGTGCGTGCATAGTCTGGGACTACTCCAGCTTGGAGTAGTGCGTAGTACAAGCATCTGTGTAGAGACTGCGAATGTGAAGGCGCATAACTTGGACGGGTACTTCTTGAGCGGAGCTGTCCTGAAGTTGCCTGCGTGGTCGACGTGCGGGGCGGCGAGGTGTCCTCCTCGATGATTACAGCATCGCTGATTTTCCATTCCTGTGAGTGTCGTAAATGCCGTACAGTCGGGGCCCTGAAGAAGGAACCCTTTTCGTTGGGGAGGGGCTGGGTGTTCCTTGAGTGTTTCACAGCTTGCCCAAGATTTTCCTTCGGCTTTCGATCGGAAATCGAAGTTTAACTTATGGAAAAAAGGGGCCTCGTCCCTGATTTAGGTTTCCTTTGGTCAACGCCCCTACTGTAGGTAGGTTCTCGCGCAGTAACGTTATGGGCTTCGTATCGCAACAGGCGACCACGCACTGGACGAAACTGATCGCGTTGACCTCCTTGCATGTAAGTCAGTTTCTTGCCTCCAGGGGCCTCCATGTTGAATCACAGATCGCCCGCCAGGTTGGGGTGGACGGGTGCTTCATTGCTGCTGGTATACGTAGCAATAGTGTTTCAAGTCGGAACTCTAGAGTGACCCGTAGGAGCCCAGTCCCTATTCGTATGTGTGTTCTCTCCTCTTTCGTTGAGCCATTTGTACCCCCAGGGCTCGTCTATGTCGCGTAGTGGTCGAGGTACGCCGTCTTGTCGCTGCTGTAGGTTGTTCCAGCGTGCACAACGTCATGCTTCACAGGACGACCAAGCATGTATACCAGCTACCGCTCCAGAGTGCATAAGTGCTGTCCAGAACGCTTTGGCCTCCGAATATAGTAAGTTCCCCCCGTGTGGGTCGTTAGCAAGGTCGAGGCTTATGGCTTCCACGGGGAAGCTGGAGTTTAGTTTGATGGCATGTGGTAAAGATTAGTCTTTACGTCGGCCTGAGAAGAAGTAGAGGTAGTAGTAGACATTGCGTTGAGGGAAACTTGGGCTTATATCAATGATACGCACCATCTCCTCGTCAAGTTGTACTTGTTGTGGTTCTGGAGGCTCCAGCTTTTGGTCGATCCGTTCGTCTGAAGGTAGTAGCATGGATACGGTATGCTGGTCTCTGATGTTTGGTTCCTTGGCTGCCGCATCATAATAGCCTTCTCTTCTTAGTGCAGCGGCGTCATCCTTGCCAATTTGATCTACTTCTGGTACTCGTTCATGTGGTTGTCATCAAGGTAGTATCTGATGAGAAAGGCACAGTTTCGCCTCCTGCGAAGGTGTATAAGTGGTCGAGGTCTGGTATGGTAGTCCATGCCACGTTCGCTGCACAGTCCACTCTGCACATGGTTGCGTACGTGGACCGGGTCTGGGTTGCACATTGTCATATGTATTGCCCAGGCTCTTTTGGTAGCCAGTGTCTGCGGACATTGCGGACATGCGTATTTGAGTTTTGCGGTAGGGCGTGGGGTATGCTCAGGTGGCGGTTCTATTCCCAGAAGTCCGAGTCGTTGGTAGTACATGTTGTGCCTTGCCATGTGCTACCATTGTCTCTTCGTCAATAGTGCAGCTGTCTTGGCCAGTATGCCTAAGTAGTTGTCAGTCTCGCCCCCACTTTCTGTTGCCTTGGCCGTCCATTCGCGTAGTACGCTACGCTTGCGTGTCGCGTGTTGGTTTTTGAAGTTTTCGAGCCATTGGCAGTCGTCCTTGTGTCTTTCTGTCCAGCTTCCCCCAAGATACAGCAGTACACCAAGGAGATATGGTAGCTGGCCTGGTCCATGTCGCACTAGGCGGAAATCAGATCGGAGCCTCCTCGTCTTGAGGAGAAAATCTTAGGCCAGTCTGTCGTGATGCAGTGGTCGGTGACCTCGTTAGCGTGCTGTTCGTGATTGGGCATTCCCAACGCCGATCGCTGGAGCTTCATGTGCGTGGAGTGGGCGTTGGCCAGGTCTCCGCTATGGAGATGAGCCTGGGTAGCGCCAAGGCGTCTGCAATGTTACCAAATGCATGGCTTCGCTGCATTGCTGGGTGAATAGAGCTCTACTTAGGGGGGGTCCTTGCGTGCGCAGTTTTTAGTTGTCGAGATCGCATGTCTGGTCCATGCGCCTCAGTAGTTTCCACTATTCCAACCAAACGATTGGCCCTTGTGACGATCTCAAGGGTCAGGTCCATACCGAGTATCGGAAGACGTCCTTTGTAGGTCCCAAGCAAGGTGTGTGTTCGTTGTTCGAGCATTCTTCCATGTATCGATACAGGGGCATGTTTCTTGCCCAGGTCGCAGCCCGGGGTTAGCGAATGTTCGAGCAGTCCATCATGCACCGCTAATACGAAGCTGACTATCGTGGGCTCTATCACGCTGTTGTCTTCGATGATGGTGTAAAATCTGGAGTCGTCCGCATAGGTAGTGTCGTAAGATCTTGGGGCTTGCCGTCGTTTTGTATTATCTCATGCGCGCGATCGTAGGTTCAAATGTCAAGTATCAATCCTCTGTCAGCAGGCCTCCCTCGCATGGGCACCAGCGTCTTTGCATAAAGCGCGCCGAACATGTAGCCGGCTAGTCTTATACCTGGTCTCGATCCAGTTGTAGTTCGTTCGATTGTTGGGAGTTGGCCAGCCGTACTTACGGATGCGAGGTGCACGGCGCTTCCGACCATGAGTTTTTCACGCTCAGGCGCGCGTTGGGACGGTTCTTGCAGCCCTCAGTTGGCAGATCCCTCACCGCAGCTTTGTTGTTCGCCGCCGACCCAACATAGTATGCTGCTGTTGCCCCTATTTTGAGATCATCCAAGAAAGTTTGGACCAGCCCTGATGGGTCTTACGACTTCGGCTTCACGTTGGCTGAGCTCAGCAGTGCCTGGGTTGTGGGTTTCTCTGGGCCTCCCCCTCCGAGGAGGAAGATCCGCGGGCCAGCGGGGCCCCTTCGTCTGTCGGTGGAGCGTCTTGGGTGGAAGATGGCGGGTGTGGACGACACGGGTGTGGAAGTCTCCCTCACCTTGGTGTCCACCGCCCTCCTCAAGCGCCTCCTTCGTTCCGCGGTGCTCAATAATCTGGATAGAGATGGGTGGTCCCCAGGTCTCGATTGCAGAGTTTGCTTTGATGTGGCCCTCGCTGCCATGAGTTCTTTGAAGTTCACCCCGTTCGGAAAAAGGGGCCATTCGTGGCCCTGTCTGTCAGGCGCCCTGGACCAAGACGCGTGCCGAGGCGCACGGCGACCTCCTGCCCGACTTGCTTTGCCCGTTGTGCGGCATCGAGCAGGGCACCATATTTCATAGGCTCTGGCGTTGTACACATTATCTTGCGAGCAAGCTCCGTGACGAGATTCTCGGATATGAGTTTGTGTTTAAGCCGGTGGCGTGCCATATGTTGACGGAGGTTGAGAAGGGTTTGTACACAGTGGGGTTGTTGTCACACCTTGGCGACGTCTTCCCAACCCCCTCAGTCAAGGAGCCTATAAGCCAGCACCCTTACCAGCCTGAAAAAAAGATACCTACCGCGTCTCGGAAAATACGTGTATGGACGGTTCGGGCATACGCTCGGTCATTAAGGAATTGTCGAGGACGGGTTGGAGTTACGTCTCGGAGTCTGACTCTGGCTATCCCCCAGACGGCCTAGGTTGGAGAGTGTGCTGCCTGCACTGCTGCCTGCCAGAATGCTGATGCCCCCGCCCAAGGTTTCAGAGACTGTCAGAATGGTGCTAGTTTGTGGGCCGTGCCTAGAGAGGAACACCATTCTTTCAAGCGAACGCACGCGGGTATGTTTATTGGGATCTCAAATTGCCAGACGGGGGCCATCCACAAAGTGAAGGGCCGCCTCACTGAGGAGCAAGCGGCGGAGGATGAATCTCTTCGTTTCAGTAAGATAGCAAATGATCTAGCTGACCATTATGACAAGCTTGTAGCCCTGGCGCACGAGAAGCCGAGCCCCGAGCAAAGAGAGTGGCTGGACAGATGCCTCGCCATCGCGAGGAGGGTGTTTGTTTTGGCCGCGCGTGTGCTTCCTATCTAGCCAGCTTGCGACCTCTCTGGAGCTACGCGGGAGATGGCTGTTCCGCCCCGAGCTCCTTTCAAGGCTTCTCACCTCTGGAAGAAGGTAGGAGATTGTTGGCTGTGTAATAGCTGCCTCTCTGTCTGTCGCGGGGTGTGGCCCCGCAACAGTTCAGGTTGAAACAAGAAGCATCGGCTCCAGACCGACACCCTCGAAGGTCTTGAGCACCGTGGCATTGTGTTGTCTTGCTCGGGTGGTGGCATTGTTTACGCTTGCGCTCGTTGCAAGGCAGTCTCTACCGGAAATCATGTGCGGCACCTGAGCAAAGTTACCCAGGTAAGCCGCACAACGTGAGGAGCTCGAAGTATTATTGGGACAGGACCTGCGTTTCAGCACCCCAAGCTGGGAGACGTCTGGCTTGACGCGGATGCACAAAGCGTAGGGCGTCTCTTAAATCATATTTGATGCCGCTGTCTGGTCCAGTCTCCGCGGGCGTGGCCCGTGACCGTCGGCACGTTGGCATGTATGCTCGCCCGTGCCAGCGTCTTTGAAGGACCGTGCTCGACGGCCACCTTGCCCCCCAGAGGCCAGGCACACCGCGAGAAGTCGTGGAGAGCAGCGCAGCGGTAAAAATCCTCCTCCTCCTCCTCCTCCTCCTCCTCCTCCTCCTCCTCCTCCTCCTCCTCCTCCTCCTCCTCCTCCCTCCTCCCTCCTCCTCCCTCCCTCCTCCTCCTCCTCCTCCTCCTCCTCCTCCTCCTCCTCCCTCCTCCTCCTCCTCCCTCCTCCTCCTCCTCTCCTCCTCCTCCTCCCTCCTCTTCGTCGTCCTCCTCCCCCTCCCTCCTCATCCTCCTCCTCCTTCTCCCCCTCCTTTTCCTCCTCCTCCTATTCCTCCTGCTCCAGGGCCGCACTTCTCACCCCCGAGGTGGACCTGCGGAACGACGGGCCCGTCACCGTGGAGCTCGTGGCTGGGCCGCCCGCGCTGGCGCCAGCTCCCACGGCCGGCGCCGCCGCACCCAGCCCCGCAGGAGGCCGACGTCGTCGCGATCGTCGTCGTCGTCGTCGTCGTCGTCGTCCTCTTTCCCTTCTTCATCCACCTCCTCTTCGTCGTCGTTCTCGTGCTCGTCGTACTCGTCGTCGTCGTCGTCATCCTATCCTTCGCACTCCGCAACATGTAATTAATCCTGCTCGTCCTCTTCCTCGCCCTCCTCGTCGTTGTCCTCGTCGTCGTCGACGAGGAGGGGGAGTAGGAGGAGGAGGAGGAGGAGAAGGGAGGAGGAGGTTTGAGGAGTGAACTTCGAGGATCGAGTTTTTTTTTCGTGGGGGGCTCCCTGGGGGCTCCTCGGCGCCGCGTCTGGATACGCCAGAATGTTCTGGTCAGAACATACCTCTGAAGAGTTCCAGCGGACGATGATTGAAGGTACTCGTAGAGGATGAGGATTAAGAGGAAGAGCAGCAGGAGCAGCAGCAGCGGGAGCAGTAAGTGGAGAACGAGGAGGCCGACGACGGCGGCAAGATGAGGGAAAGAGAGGAAGAGGAGGGGGGAGACAAGCAGGAGGAGGAGGAGAAAGGAAGAGGAGGAGGAGGAGGAGGAGGAGATTGACGAAATAGAAGGACGGAGGAGGAGGAGGAGGAGGAGGAGGAGAAGGAGGACAAAGGGGAGGAAGAGGAGGAGGAGCGAGGAGGAGCAAGGAGAGGGAGGAGGAGGAGGTGGAGGAGGAGGAGGACGACGACGACGAGGACGAGCTGAAGGAGAAGGAGAAGGAGAGCACATGAACACATGGGAACATATGGGGAGACATAGGAACGCATCGGAATACGAAGCGTGGCACAGTGGAACACCGAGATCCTGAGATGTGCGGGAGCACGTCGGACTCCGTTGTTCACGAATTCGTTTCGGCAAGGTCCGCGCTCTCGGCGGTGTGGGTCCGAGGGTATCCGAGAGAACCCGACGGATCGGCCTGGGTCTCCGAGGTGTGCACCCCGTCAGCGGGACGCGCCTCTCCGGCCGGCTTGCCTGCTGGTCCGCGGCGCCCGCTTCCCACGGTCGCCGCACATTGCGCCCTGCGCTCAGGCTGTCCCGAGGAAAGCATACCCAAGACGGCAGCGGGAGCAGGAGGACAATGAGGATGGCGAGACGGAGGAGGAGGAGGACGACGACGACGAGAAGGAGGAGGACGGAGGAGGAGCAGCAGCACTAGGACGACTGAAAGGAGGGGGGGGCGACCAGGAGGAGGAGGAGGAGGAGGACATCGACGAGCACGTCGTCGTCGTCGTCGCCGCCTCTCTCTTCTTCCTTTTCCTTCTCCTCCTCATCCTCCTCCTCCTCCTCGTCAACGCACTAGTGTTGAACCTTAGTCCTTAGTCATCCCCGGGTCATCCTCCCCCTCATGAGGGTGAGGAGGAGGGGAACGAGAGAAGGGAACGCAGGAGCGGGCCCTCGCCGCAAGGAACGCCCGCCAGCCAGCCTCGATGATAAATGCGGGCGCTGGTCGACTCCAATCAAACTGGCGATGACGTGGTTGCCTTTTCGGTGAAGCGCATCGACTTCGGCCAGATCTCGGGCCCGAGAGTTTCGCGCTCCCCGCCCTCGCCTCTGCGGGCAGCGCCAACGTCAAGAGGTTACTCTCGCGCGCACGTGGGCGCTGGCGCAAACATAGGTGGATCTCCACCATGTTGGGGCGGCTGTGGTCGGCGCTTTGACAGAACATCCTCCTCCTCCTCCTCCTCCTCCTCCTCCTCCCTCCTCCTCCTCCTCCTCCTCCTCCTCCTCCTCCTCCTCCTCCTCAAAAATGACAGCAGCAGGGTGCCTTTGCCCTGGCTGCTGGGGCCAGCGCGAAGCGCTGTGAAACATCTTGAAAAGCCCCCGAGCCGAGGGGCCCGGGCGCTAAGCGGAATTATGACGCCCCCGGGCCGGGGGGGCCCGGGCGCGAAGCGGGAATGACGTCATGTGACGACCGGAGCGAGCCACTTCGGCAGCAACCGACACCTCAACCACCACCACCACCAGGAGGAAGAGGGGGGAGGTCGTCAGCGTCGGCGTCGCTCGTCCCGCCGCCCGCCGCGCCGCCGCCCGCCGAGGGGGGCAGGGAGGGGAGGGGGGGGAGGCCCCGGAAAGCTCTCGGCGAATGGACAGCGTCCCCGAAAGCCCACCCGCCGCCGCGGCCGGCCCCGCAGAGGCCAGCAAGCGCCTGCAGAATGGCAATGCCGAGGCGGCACGCCATCACCTGCAGCTCAGCCCGGCGCCGAACCGAGCCGCCAGCAACCTTAGTGATCCACCCCGACTTCGAGGTGACCCTGGGCTGGGCACCCCACCAGGCAGGCGCGACCCGCAGCTCCTTCCCAAGCTCGAGGCGACGTCCGGCAAAACGCGGGCACTCGACCCAGAAGTGCCGAGCCGAGGCCAGGGCGTGCCCGCATCCGAAGGGGCAGGCGCACGCGCCGCCCTGAGAGGCAGAGCCACGCCTGCGGGTAGGCGCGCTCACCGCCCCGCCACGCCACACCGAGAGCAACGTCGCCTCGAATCGCCCCAACGACCGCCGGAACTGGGCCCAGGGCGGCGCGCTCTGAGCAGCCAAATCGATCTCCCCGATACCGTCCTCGTCGTGGCGCGCGGGCCCAGGAGCTCCCCGTGGGCGAAGGAGCACCGCCCGGGCGCACTCCCGGAGCACGTGCTGCCCGCGATCGGACGAGGCGTCGAAAGCCCCCCGGGGGGGGCGGGGGCGGCCCTCGGGAGTCTGGGTTCGAGCTTCGCGGCTGTCGTCGGCAGCAGCGGCAGTGACCGCCGCCGCAGCCCTAGGGTCGAGCCCCGGAGCTGGGAGCAGCCACACGCCCTCAGGGAGCGGCCTGGCCGAGACCGGGCGCAACCCGAGGACCCCGGAGTGCTCCGAGAGCGCCACCGACAACAGCCGCGACGCGGGAACCCCCCGAGCAGCCTTCAGAACGGCGCACGCAGTGCCGAAAATCGGGTGCAGCGAGACCCGTTCGGCGTACCATCGCCGAGCGCACCACCACGTGCAGCGGGTGCGGACCACAGACCTGAGCGTGAGCGCGATCAGATCAGACGGCGGGATCGCGCAGAAAGGGGCCGACCATCTGTGCTTAGGGGCGACGCACATTAAGGCCGCCAGCTCCCGGATCCGTTGCCCACCGGGGACCGTGCGGAGCCGGCGCACCTGGGCGCGGATCAGATCCCACCCGTCGCGCGGCTCTGGCAGCTGAGGCCAGACCGCGCCGTCGCCCACAGCAGCCCGAACCCCTAAGTGCTCGGCGCTCTGGGTGCCCGACCACACTTGCCGTTTTCCGATATTTTCAGAAAAACCCAGCCGCCGATCAATTTCCGCCATGATCGCAAGGGCCCGGTCCCGGTCGACCGCCGCAGCGGCCTTAAGGGATCGGTCGTCCACGTAGGACCACCCGCGGGTCCTAGGAACCGAGCGGACCGCGTTGTGCCAGGGTCGAAGCACGACGCTGAGGGTCCGGCCCGAGGGGGGGTCACCTGGCGGCAGGCCCCGCGTAGGATGCAGGGCATCCGCGAGGTCGCCGGCCACCGAGCAGTACCTGGGAGCCCGCCAAACCGCCTCGAGAGCTGCCACCACAGGCGGCGGCGTTCCTTGGTAGCTGAGGGCGGCGCCGGCCACGCCGTGGTCCACCGAGTCGTAGGCCCGGCTCAGGTCCACCTCAGCTCCCGCGCTGCCGGGCGCGGCCGCCCAGTCAGCCACGGAGGCCACGGCGCCACGCTCCCCGAACGCCTCGGCAGGGGGCGGGGGGAGTGCGTCGAGGAGGCAGCGGCCCCACGCTCGCATCCAGACAGGCCCGATCGCGATCGGCCGGGCGTCGTCAGACCCGCGCTTCGGAATGCCGACCACCCGCAACGCCCCGAAAACCCGCAGCCGTTCGTCGGGCCACGGGCCAGCGTCCCCTTCCACCGTGGCAGCGAGGATGGTCCAAAGCTCGCGGAGAAGGCCGGGGCAATGCTCAGAGAGGCCCTGCAGCTCGGCCGCCTCCCACCCGTCGAGCCCGGCCGCGCCTTGGGAGTCCCGGAGGGCCCTCTGGAAAGCCTCGAAAGAGGGAGGGCGCCAAGCGGGGTCAGCAGGGACCTCGGGGACGCCCCACTCGCGAGCAACGGCGACCCAGTCAAGGGGGGGACCTCCAGGGTCGGGGACCCACCACGGCTCCCACTCCCGCCGCATATCCTCAGCCGAGAAGACTGGGGCAGGAGCGGGCTCCCGCATCGTCTGGGCGGCCGCGGCCGCCGTGCGGGCGCCCCACTTGCGAAACTGAGACCGCCACGTCTTCAGGGCGCGGTCCTGGGTGACCTTAGCTTCCGCCATAAGCGCCCGGGACAGAGCCTGAGCCGCCTCACCGAGGGTCGGGGGGAACCCCTGGACCAACCCATCCTGGCAGGCGAAGCCCCACTTGCGAGCGACCAGGGGCGGCAAGGGCGCCTCGGTGCCCGCAGAGTTCGCTCTCCCGGCCGCCACGACCAGCCTGTGGAACCGGAGCAGGCGCCGCTCGCGGATCGTAGCCTCGCCCCGCGTGGGGCCACTAGGGGCCACGGGCCGCGTCTCGGTCGAAACGCCCTTCGGTCGCTCGGCCGCCCGGGCGACGGTGGCCACGCCTAGGGCGGCGGCCGCCGTCAACGCTGCCTCAGCGCGCTGGTGCCACCGCGCCAAGGCCTCGGTTGCCCAATCGGAAAAGCGGGGGGGGGCGGAGCTATGCTGGGGGCCCCCCCAATCGTTGGCCGCCGCGGCCAACAGCCCCGCCTCGTCCCGCGAGGGCGCGCGGACCCACTCGTAGCGGGCCGCCCGCCGGAGGCGGCGCGCCTGCACTGGCGGGGGGGGAGGGAGGTCGACGTCGTACACCACCCCGAAATGGTGAGGGACGGCCGGCAGGGGGGCCGCGTCCGCCACCTCCGCCGAGCAGCTAAGGCCGACGAGGCGAGAGGGGGAAGTGAGGGCAGTCGTGGTCGGGGGAGAGTTCGCGACCGCCCACGGCGCCTCGGCGAGATCATTATACCCCGCCTTCCAAT